AAATTGTGTTGTGCTGCAAAATAAAATGTGTATAGCACTGGTTGTTCATTCCTGATGTTTTCAGTAATGTTTCAGGGAACTGTTGATGAATGCTGTTTCAAGTGATGATTCAGTTCTGGGTATCAATGAAGCTTTTGCTGTTCTGGCTGTTTGGCTAGCTGAAAGGAAAATCTTGTATTCTTACACTCTTTTGTCCTAGGAAGAGTTGAAAAATTTGCATCTGCAGTGCAGATCTGTAGTTCCTGTGTCTCCGTGCTTTCTCTTATTACGCAGGTGAGAAGGACTCAATGATTTTTGACTGTACTGAATGTTACGATCCTGTCAGTAAGCAGTGGACGATTGTGGCTTCCATGAACCATCCTCGCTGTGGACTGGGAGTGTGCACATGCCGTGGTGCTATCTATGCTTTAGGTAATTCTTTTTTCCACTAGGTGACGTTAATCTTAGAGGTGTTAATTCATGGGACCTGTAAGTTTTTTTGGTTTTTAATATTATGGCTTAATGTTACCTATCTGCAGCTTTGAAAAAGACCTGTTCAAATGAGCATTAGTACACCAGGTCTCTGTGGATTAGTTATTGTTCAGCTCTAACTTATTTCCCTAGCAGAATTGATGTTGTTCTGTTGCAGGACACACAGTGTTATCTGCAATTTAGGCACTGCTTCATACCATTAAATGCTTTCCTGTGTTTGTTGGCATTTGCAGGAGGTTGGGTTGGGGCAGAGATCGGCAACACAATTGAAAGATTTGATCCTGAAGAAAATAGTTGGGATGTGGTGGGAAGCATGGTTGTGCCCCGTTATTACTTTGGATGTTGTGAAATACAAGGTGAGGATTGTTAAGCTTGCTTCCAAAACCCTCTTGGGCTCTTGGAACTCTTCAGAAACAGTTATGTTTCAGTCACGAGTTCTTACTTTTGTCTTGTCCTGTCAGTTGCAGAAGATTGTGCCTTGCTTTTTTGTCCTCCTAACATGTGTTTCTACAGAAATTATAGTATAGAGGTCTTTCTCTGTCTGCTGCCTTTTATGTCATGAAAGTAGTTTATATATGGCTGTTGGTATGATTATCCAGCTAATCTATTAAGTTGATTATCCTTCCTGCTATTGCTTTTATGTATCTCCAGCTTTTGGGTTCATGTGCATGTCTTTTTGACAACCTGTGGCAATTCTTCAGATTATTTCGGGACGGTTGTGTCTGAAGGTTTAAGCTGTATGTGTGCTTTTTATGCATCTGATCCAAGTATTGACAGAAGCTCCAGCCTTCTGAATTCTCCACCCTTCGCTTGATTGACGGTTGCTTTCATCTGAGCACAGGGTTACTTACCTGAAAACTTTGTATGCTAATTCTGGACAAATAAAGGATTCTATTTGGTATTCTTGAATCATCTTAGTGGCAAGCTGAAATGGATGCCATGAGAAGCATTTTCTGTCTTTCAAGACTTTGTATTGTGAAACCTCACATAGGAAAAACTATATTTCTACAGGTCTAATTTATGTTGTTGGTGGTATCAGCCATGAGGGAGTAGAGCTGCGTTCTGTTGAAGTCTACGACCCGCTATCTAAATGTTGGTCTGAGCTTCCTCCCATGGGCACCCGAAGAGCGTATCTCGGTGTAGCTGCTCTCAATGATTGTATCTATGCTGTTGGAGGCTGGAATGAATCTCAAGATGCGCTTGCTACTGTAGAAAGATACTCCTTTGAAGAGGTATGGTGGAGTCCCTTCCTTTCAGAAATGTAGACTGCGTGGACTTCGTGTAAAATGCTGTGGAAGTAGCCTGCTTCCTTCCTTTAAAAAGAAAAAAACGAATAATTTCCAGCTCTGCTTTTCCTACTGGCTGGTAATCCAAGTTGGGGGTGGAAGGAGTTCCGGTGACCTCTGAGTCTGTCTGTCCTAACCAGCTTGTAGCATTCTGCTGATCTAACCCGTATGTTTATGAAAACTGTATGCATGCTTTTGGGAAACTGGAAGCTAACCAAGCTCAGATACTTCATACTTAGGTAAATACTTGTCAAAGTAGAGGTAGTGGAATAAATTTCCCCTTCTCCTTCTGCAATAGAATGAATTACACTCTCCAGAGAGAACAAGTAAGAGCTGCCCTTTGCTGCGTGACTTGAGAATCTTTCTTCTGCATAAAAATGTGGTGGTTGTTTCAATGCAACTAGAAAGATTGCTTTGAATGCAGTATTAGTCCTGGCTATTACTGCTCATGTTTATATGATGCTCTTTGCAACAGAAAGTTGCTGAAAGCAGCATGTATTCCATGGTGGCATTCTGTTCTGCACTGTTCTCCTTGTTTCCCATCTCAAAGTGCATATGGTTTTCTGATCTGGAGACGGGCTGCATCACACGGTGACTGAAGAAAGGAAGGGGTGTTGTGTAGACAGGGTGTGATCTGTTCTTTAGAGACTGCTACCGCATGGACCTCTTGTGAAAGTGCTGGCATTACAGTATCAATAACACACTTGCTACTATGCACATAGCATAGTGTTTGAATTGTGATGTTTGCATAGTTAACATCAGTTAACATAGTTTCAGTCTTTAAGGCTAAAAAGCTGCTTTTATCAGAATTGGGCCATACCCTAAAACTACTTGTTGATTTTTTTTTTTTTTTAATTTTTATTTTTTCTTCATGTTCTCATTAGGAAAAGTGGGTCGAAGTTGCACCAATGAAGATGCCAAGAGCTGGTGTCTGTGTTGTGACTGTGAATGGATTTCTTTATGCCTCGGGAGGCCGTGCTCCCAGTCATGACTTTGCTGCTCCGGTAACCTCTGACTCTGTTGAAGTTTATAACCCTCACATGGACAGTTGGACTGAAACTGCCAACATGATCACCAGCCGCTGTGAAGGAGGTGTAGCTGTGCTGTAAAGTGCAAGGAAGAAAACTCATCCAAGGAATGAGTGAGTATCTGCCTCCTCTGGTTTCCGGTTTCATTGGCCAGAAACCTCTTCTATCAGCAGAACCTTCAGTAGAAACAGGGGCTTAGATCAGAGGGCTTTTCCAAAGCAAAAGGAAATATTAGAACTCTTGCCGTTCAAAGTAAATGGGCTTATCCCAGAGTAGGAATGCCTCTTATGACTGGATTAAGATTTATTAAATGCCAAATTTGCCCTGTACCGATCTGAAGAAATCATTCCAGCACACTAGAGGTGTTAGATCTCAGATGTGTCAGTCAGTATCTTCAGCTGGCCTTACACTCTGGAAGAAGGTTGCTATGGATGGCTAGGAGTTCCCTGCTGATAAAAGCAGGCTGGCTACTTGACTGGCATTAGTTGTCCTTTGCTGATAGAAAACAAGAAAAAGAAGAGATGGGAGAGACTTGGTACCTCCACTTAGGACCTAGATGCATTTGAGCCTCTCTGCTGCTGCAGGGCATGGGCACTAAATATTAATTAGATGTTTACTTTCCTGCCACCCCCCCAACTTTGATGGTAGGTGGCTGAGGACTTCCTATTATGGAAAGCTATTCTTGCAGTTCTAATAATGTCATTCCACTTCAGCACAGGCTTTTTTTACTCAGTGGAGTCAGCGATGGCAATAGAGCTCCTTTTCTGTATAAACTGATTATTTTAAATGGAAGCGGCATTAGTTAGATGAGTTGTTTTTGCAGTAAGGACAGCTCTTAGACTAAAAACCTAAGGAAAACCTTTTGCCCGTGTTTTTTTTTTTCTTTTTTTTGTTAACTGTGTTTTATGCTGTGTGACACGTGCTGTGATTTGGCATCTGAATACATGCTCTTATACAAGGTTCACACGTTCATCCTTGCTGCATTTTATACCTTGCCTCTTCCAAATTAGTGTGGACAGAGCCTTTTGTAGTGGAAATAGCTGTGTTCAGCATTGAGGTGATGCTGTTAGTGTGTCTTTCCTTAAGGAATTCATATTTAGCTTGGATACACTCCTAGAATACTCGCCAGGAGTTTGGAGTTATTTCTAGCTTTATCAAATGAGTGTTGTACATGAAGTTGCTTTTTGCACACTGCAATTGCATTGTCTGCACAGCTGTGGATGACTCGGATAGGAGTCTGAAATAAAGCTGCTTGAATATGAGATACAGTGTTACCCTAGACCATAAAATCACAACTGGAATGGCAGAGAACAGGAAGCCTGCATTATGAGACAAGGGGGCACTCGTACCAAGTCCACATCTCTTTCATGCAGCTAACAAATTAACGGATGAGTAAAAGCCCCCAGAGTCAGTGTTGCAGGTACATTAGGAATCCAGGTTTTGCATTCTAACACAGGACTGAGAGATTGCCAGGTTAAAATGTGCTAGATGATTGAGCATTTGTTTTCTCTGATCACTCAATCATTGTATATGTTTTACTTCAAAATTATTTCTTAATTATGTCTATTTGTCTTTTTTCAAGTTTGAACTTGTTTTAAGCAGTTTTTGTAATAAAATACACTTTCATAACTGAATATGGAATACTCTTGAATAGGGTGTTTTCCTACCATAATGTCTTGTATTGTTGCTGTTTTCATCTAGTGAGTTGTCCTGTTCTTTAACTGAAGTCCTGTTCCTGGTAGGACGCTGGGAGAGAGTGATGATACATTTTGCCTGCTTCAAGCTGCAAATACCACACTTCTGTAGTAAAATTCTCATTAATTTCTCTTCAGTATAAAGTCACTGCAAGTGTGGCTGCCTTATCAGCTCCATGCAGCCCTCTCTGAAATGAAATTATAGGTAATATTTCTTAAGTTTTGTTATTTGTTGAGGAACCTTCTTGAGACACATGAGAAACACCGTCTTCACTATATTTTATTCATTTGGGAATTCTATGCACTCACTTCTCCTTCCCATAAACTTTCTGGTTCAGATTATCTTGAGGGCATCTGCTGTTGGTCTGAAGTTGCCTTCTCCAGTTCCTGTGGTTGATTTTGATGTTTGAGCTTGGAGGCTGTAATCAACTGCTCCCAGCTACTCAGCAGTCTTTCCCTGACGCAGACCAAAATCTGGATCCACTTAAAAACTGTCATATTTAAAAAAGAATAACACTGTGTTTACAAATAAAGTTTTTATTTATTTTATATTCGGAGAGCATCAAGTATACTGCTGATCTGGGGATATGGTGCTGTTAACACATAAAAGGTAATGGGGTAAGAGAAGGAGAGATTCATGGACATAGCTGCTGTTTCAGCAACACCATAGAAGAAGATGGCATCATCTTTAGGCAGGTTTCCTAAATTGTTCTTTGCAGAACAAGCAGATAAAACTGAAGTTATGGTGGGTGCTTTGTTCTTCACTAACCAACAGTGCTTTATGTGTACTATGTGGATCATATAAATTGGTCCTGAGGGTACATGGATATCAAACATTGCCTTTCTTCTTGCATCTTAAGAGAAAAAGCCTATAGTAAATATGCTCATATGCAATGTATTAAGCTTCCTGAGGTAGCTGAGGACAGAAAAGAAAATCTGTGTGATGGGCTCTTGTTTCTTCCTTGAGATTTTGTTAGGAAGTAGACTTACATGCAAAGTCGTGTCAATAACCAGCTACTCAGGGAGAGCGTGCAGGCCACAACTGCGTTTGTACCTTCCCAGGGTGCACAAATAAAACTACTCTTGAGGAGGGAGAAGACAAACTTCTTTCAATTCTACTGCCTGATCCTTTCGTGTTAGCAGTAGATCTGTGTCCTACCAAGCAGCAATCGATGGTACTTTAACTTAGGAATATGATGGTCCTTTATGATTATGTGTTGCAAGCAGCTTCACTGCTTAAGTAGCCCTAAGACCAAGCAAAATCTAGGAGCAGATGGGCTGGCTCTCCTTTCTATTTAAGTCTAAATAGTAAGATGATCTTTTTTTGTAGCACTTCATTGAAGATAAAAAGTTGCCCCTTCCAGCCTTCCCCATGGCAGCTTAATGGTATACTTCAGGTGAACTCTGACCTCAGCTTGCCACTGCGAACAAACCTCACCTACCCTTTCTTTCCACTTTAAATTCTATGTGATTAAGCTCTGGACATCTCCTCAATTTGAAATAAGGTTGAGTTCTTGGTGGTTTTTTTTCACACTTCCACAAAACAGGAACTGAAGGTGTATGTACTTCTGCACAATTCTCTATTTCTTTCAGTGATAAACGTACTGCTTTCACCTTGACATCATTTAGAGCACACACCACTACATCATTGCTCTCCCTCCCACAGAATGTTATCACATTATAGTCAAACCAGATACTTTGATAATTCAGAACAGAGCAATTCATACCCACGACACGTGAATCTCCCTTTTAAATTCATCTAATCTCACTCAGGAACGATGCTTTGTTCTACAGATAATGGCAGATTCTGGCCTGCCTTGGACACAATCAGTATTTAGAGTGCTTCCCTTCTAAAGCTGCTATTAACTTACTTGCTCCAAGAATAAGCATCTTGATCAATGCCCTCTTATGACTTCTGAGCACAAATAAGTCTTTATTTCCATATGACCTCAATGCAAATACATTATTAACAAATAAACAGCTTTTTCCCCTTGCTTTATTGTTTTGTGTTCTGCTTTTCGGGTCTGCTGTTAATTAAATTCTCATGATCAGAAACCATCTTCACGGCTAAAGTAGCTAACAGTGATAACACTGCCACCACTGTTACCACTATCCTCAGTCCTTTAAACCAAAGAGGATAGGTAGGAAGAAGGGAAAGGTCATAGTGTAATGCTATCCCTAAGCTCAGTACAATCATTACTGCACTGCTAGCGATATCTTTAAAAAGCAAGGCTTGCCAGGCGAGCAGAGGAAGAATGGTGCTGTTGGCCAGGTTCAGCCAGTCTGGCTTGGCTGGGCTGTTTTCTGGGACAGCAAATCCCCACCTCATTCCCCCTATGAAAGAGACGATGACAGCACCATACGTAACCTGAACAAATGCCAGCTCTGGGTGGTAGGTCCTTTGGAGAACCATTAATAGCGGCATAGAAACAAGTGGAATTAGCCCTGCAAGGCTTAAGTAAAGGGCTGGCTTTGGAGAATCCTTCAGTGATTTCATACTCTGTCGCAACAGGCCTGGCTCTCGAGGAGGTTCTTGGGGAGGCTTTTTCTTTAAGACTGGGAAAGACGTGTGAAAAGCCTGGAGTTTGACTGCACACACCGATACTCTGCTGAGGCTCAGAGGTCTTGAGAGAAGACAAACATTTCTCTGCAGGGAGAGACAGGGAGAGGAGCACCTTGTCTTATTCTTTCCATGCAGGAGTAGTCTGGGACCAGTTAGCTTCTGCAGCTGCAATTAAAAAGTTTGTTCTTTTGAGTACCTTACAACACAGGCATTATTGTCCTACAGTTACCTGGAGTATCTATAAAATATTGAACTGAAGAGTTTTCTTGGCTGGATAACCCCACAGCTGCCCTTCCTCAGGGCTTTCTCATGTTTTGATCTAAGCAATTAAGCTGGCACAGCTGCTCAGCTCTTCCCAGTGAGCAAGCAGACGTTGCTCACTGTGAAAACACTTCCTGCAGCCACCTCTTCTCCCACCCACCCAAAGGCTAAGGGAGCATGCATCAGGCCTGACCAGAAAGGAACACAGCATGATCATTGAACAGTGCCATCCCCGAAAGCAGCTACTATCCCATCATTGTTCAACAGCATCCGTGACGGTAATTATAGGAAAGAAAAAGAATGTAAACATCAGAACGTGATTTAAAAGAAAAGGAATCAGAGCTTTGGCCAAAGGCGGCTGTAAAAATAAGGGACGTGCTCAGAATAGCTGCAATGAATGCAAGCCTACTTTCGCTTGTGAGGCACTGCTTCCCAACGCTCCAATGGCACGTTTAAAGAAAACCGGAGCTTAAAGCCTGCAGGAACTTACTTGGAGAGGTGTGCGGGAGCAGCACCGCCGTATGAGATGGAACATGCTTGCTTTGTCCGGGTCCTGAAACAGCAGCCAAGCGGGTGGCTGGCCGAACCGCGAGTAGCTCAGCTCGTGCCGCAGGCCGCGCTCAGCATTCAGACGTGCGCTTCTCACCGTGCTGTACTGAGAGGTAAAGCCTCGACGCGCTCTGTAATTATTTATCCACCGCGGAATGTTTTGCTGCGGGTCGTTCCGGGAACCGACGTTGCAGGCCAGGCGAGGAGGAAGGCCGGCCGTGCGGGACGCGGCACTTCCTGCGTACCGGGCAGCGCTCCGGCTGGGCTCCACCTCGGCGGTCCGGGCGGGAACGTGCACGGCGCCGCTGGTTCCGCCGCACAGGGAAGAACGCAGCCGTGCGCGGCACCCAATACGCGGCCCGGCACGTGCCAGAAGAGCACCGCGCGGCGCGCAGCCGTCGTGCCGCCTGACAGCCCGGCCGCGCCCGGCCCAAGCGCCGCGGGCTCCTGAGCTGGCCGGGCCCGGCCCGGTATTTTCTCAAGCTTGCGCACGCGGACGGCCGCGAGACGCCATAGCGGAATACGACTCCCAGGCTGCCCCACGGCGCGGGGCTTTCTGGGACTCGTAGTAGTTCTCCGCGGCGCCCCAGAGACCGCGAGGACGGCGCCGATTGGCGGGGCGGGGGGCGCGCGCGCACCCTTATCCCCGCTCTGGGCGGCGGGCGCCGGGGGTGGGGGTGCGCTCCGCGTGGCCGCCGGCGGAGCCAAGTGGGCGTGGCTCTTCCGCCTCCCGGCCCCGCCCCCCTCGCTCGCAGGCCCCGCCCCCTCCGGCCCCCGGCCGGGCAGGGCCGGGCAGCCATTTTGGGCAGAGCTTTGTTATGGTTCTGGGGCCGCAGGAGGCAGCGGGAGAGGCCTGGCCGGTGAGTACGGCGCCCACCTCCGTTCCCCGCGCTTCGCGGCGTCTCCGTCCGCCGCTCCGCCGGGCCCGGCGCCGGCTCCCCGCCTTCCACTCCCCGATCACCGGCCCCGCGGCCTCGGAGCGGCCCGGGATGGGCCTCCCGCCAGGCCGGGACCCCTCTGGCGGCGGCGGCGGGGGGAGCGGGGCGGCCGCCGGGGGGAGCTCGGCGCTCCGGACCTGCCGCCCGCGCGGCCCCGGCCCTTCCGCTGCGGCGGGGGGAGCCGGGCTCCCGGGGGGCTCCGGGCCGAGGGGTTGGGGGGGGCGGCCGGGGCCGAGCTCCGCGCTTATTGTTTCCTGCCTCGGCGGAAAGTTTGCCGAGCCCTACGCCGCTCCGCTGGCGGCGCGCCGTGTCAGTGAGGGGCGCGGGGGCAGAGGCCGGGGTAAAGTCCCCGGGGCCGCGCCGGGCTTCTGCGCGGCGGCGCTGCGAGCGCGAGTTGGAAACGAAAGTGGGAGAGTCGGGCCGAGGGCCGATCCGCCGCCGTTCCGCGGTGGTTGGTCGGCTGGGAGGGGGGGGGGGGGGGAGATCGGCGGCGACACGCGTGTCCGGCCTGGCGGAAGGAGACCGGAGCCCCCGGGTGCCGCCCGGCCGCGTGCGGCTCCGGGTGCTGCGCCGTGTGGGGCGGTGGCGGCCGCGGGCGGTGACGGCCGAGCTGCCGGGAGCGCGCCGGGCTCCGGGCCGCCGCTGAGGGCTTTGAGTTTTGGTTCCCGCGGCAACTTCGGAGCGGCTGTTCGTGCGGCCGAGAGCTTTTCAGCGGCTCGAGGCGAGCGGCCGCTGCCGAAATCCTTCCGGCCGTGGCGGAATTTCTTAAAAACATCGGCTGCAAATCGCCTCGGATAAGCTGACCAGGTCAGCTGGCGCCGCCCTCGAGCTTCTAGTGACACAGGCGTTAGTAATGCCGATAATATTCCGGGAGGTTGGAAGCGGCCGAGGCAGGGACGTAAACACGGGCTGGGAGCGCACCTGGGCGGCTCGGAGCGGGTGGGGCTGCGGCGGGGCCCGGCGCCGCCTGCCTGCATCCCGGCTGCGGCCCGCAGCGCTGCTGGGAGCGCCGGGCGCGGGGGTGGGAGCGCTGTGCTCGGCTCTTGTGTCTGCCGAGCGGGGCTGGAAAAGTCAGGTGTGGGGCGGGGGGAGAGGAAACATCGCCGTTCAACAAAAATAACCCTGTTTTTTAACGTTACTTCAGATCGCTTATAGAGAAAACTGCCTTATGAGAACTTCTAAAAGTTTTTTTTTTTTTTCCTAGAGAAAGCATTTGTTGGCATTTTCCTCATTTACTTAAAGCCGCTTCTAAGGAAGCACGACCTTTGCATATTTTATACATCTGGTTTGTAGTCTTAATCTTGCGTGGCACTGAAGTTTCCATTGCAGATATTCTGCTTGGACTTGGAGTGAAAATATGCAGGGAACAGATGGCATTTAGAAAAAAAAGATGTCCTGTTTGTTGGTTGTTGTTTTCTTTTCTATGAATGTTTCTGAAATAAGGAAGGAGCAGCGTGCAGATGTGATACGTATCACAAACTCAATGGATGTGCACGCTGTGCCGACTGCTGGGAGAAGTGCCTTCCTTGGAGATGTGTTTCAGGTTGCTGTCACCTTGTCTTGCTGATGGCACTGCTTGGTGCTTGGCTTGAGTGCCTCTTCAAATCGGTGTTTTAAATGAGGGGATGAAGTCACGAAAGGGAACTGATCTTCACAAACAGCTTTGGGAAATGTTAAAAATACTTTGAGAGCTGTGGGTTATTTTTTTTTTTTTTTTTTTTTTTTTTTTTAAGAAAGCAGTGCTGTGGATGGATCTGTGAATTTCTTTGGGAGTGTGGGATGTCGGATAGCAACGACAAGAGTGCCACAAGAGAACAAACACTTCACTGGATCAAGACTCAAGTTGCATTTTTTTAACGTAGTTTCAGCATTAGGGGATTTTTGAAGCTGCTGAATGGTTTGGTTGCAGGGTGCACTGCAGGGCGTGCTGTATTCATTCATGTGAGCAGATTGGTTATGTTAAGCAGGGCCAAAACACGAAGCACTCTTCTCAGCAAAGCGCTGGTGGTTCCTGCACCGGTACGGCTTTGTCTGTGAAGGCACAGACATGGGCTGGTTGTTGCTGTAGGTTACAGTGAGCAAGGTCATTGCTAGCGAGCTCTCCAGCTGGTGAGGCGCTCTGCGTGCAGAGGAGTTTCTTTGGGGTTTGTAAGTCCTGTGCTAACTTATTTGGCATCGAGTGCTTTCTCTCTGTTTTAGATGTTGTCCTTCTAACATGGCGGGGTAAGGAGCTGCTGCAGCGTCACTTGTGCAGCGCCTGGCATTCTGAGTAAGTGGTGCACATCTGTCTTTTGCAGAGTCGCACCAGTTTGGGTTCTCCTTACTTGTCAGGTTTGACGAAAGGCAGCGAAGTTGGCAGAAATGTGGTTCTGCTCAGCACGCCTCCCAAACGCCAGCGTGTTGTTTCACTGGTGTTCTGGAAGGTAACGTGTTCCTGTGACAGTGTGCCAAACTTGAATGAGTTATTGTATGGTCAGAGGGTAAATTTACATTTTTGGGAGTGGATTTAGATGGGCCGATAGCAGCCAAATGCTCACTGTCCTGTATGTGCAAACACTGTGCAGGCTGAGAAGTTTAGGTCACGTCAAGGCTGCTAATGTGGTGGTAAGGGGGGGGGGAAAGCCTATCAGCTACATTAATCATATATATTAGCAATTGGACTACATGACTACAAATTGGGATTTCTTAATTAAAGCGTGCTTAACATTGTTCAGTTCCTGCCTTCTCTAGCTGGGCTCCAAAAGTGTTTGGCAAAGAGAAGAACTTCAATGCCTTGTACTTCTCAGGCTTTTCTGTAATTAAGCAGCAAAGAGACTTTGTAGGATGTTGGTGTGTGCAGTTCCCTAAAATGACTAATGTGAAATGGTTGCACTCCAAGGTCTGGCTTAGGACAAACCCTTTGAAGCGGTGCATCCAGATGTAACTGAGGCTGTGTACAAGAAGTGATGATCAGGCCCAAATAGTTTGCGGGATACGACCCAGAGCCTCTGGGACTGCTGGGCTCACCAGGAGCTGCTGAAGTCCTAGCAATAGAGTCATTCTAGCAGCACTACCAGCAGCTTTCTATGTATTTTTAATTCCATCCTTGAATCTTGTGCTCCATTTCTGTTTGGGGCTTTCATTGCCTTATCCTCCACCTTGAAAGGAACATCACAGCTGTGTGGTGCGGTGTTGGTGCCTCCTGATAAGCAGAGGTGTGTGCGCCCAGGGTCTAGCTTCATGTCCTTGTTTTTTTGGAATCTACTTTTTCTAATACAAGAAGTGGCCAAATATTTTAATGGATTTCCCATGGAGCACTTTTATTTTCAGCATGTGCAGCAGGTTTAGGTAGATAGTGTCAGAGAACAGTAATGGTGTGGCCGGGGTGGGTGATGCTGGGGACAGAGGCTCAGTGTGGCAGGGGCTGCTTTCCTGGGTATCTCTGTGACCCACATAGCACACAGCATGTGACAGTGACCGTAGTGCTCTGGTGCTTTGTCATCCTTAGTTCCTAATGAGCAGCTCTCTTGTAAACAAAGGGCTGAGTCTGCTGTGGGGCATCTGCTGTTCTTTTGGATGCAGATTATCGATACCCAGAAAGTTGTGGGTGAATTTATAGTCAAGTTATCAGCAGACTTCTGGCAGTAAACCCTCCAGAAAGAGCGTTCTGCCATTGTGTTCCAGTGCACCATCCATCACCTGGAGATTAATCAGTATTCACATGAGGTGGTCTGAAAAGTTTTTCAGTGCTAATCTTTAAAAGCTTGGTGGGGGAATTCTTGTACCCTGCAAATGTTAAATATATTATGCTTTTGACTTTTGGTTTTGGAAAACTGTCTTTTCTATATATTGAACTCCATTTAAGTAGAAGAATTGGGTTAAGGATGCCTTAAATGACTTCAGATTGGCTGGGCCTTATGGAATGTATCCCACAGTACTTCGGGAGCTGAGAGTCTGTGGGGATGGGAGAAGTTCCAGCTGAGGAGTGGTGGGGAGCAAATCCACTCCTAGCATTTGGAAAAAGACAGGACAGGAGCCTGTCTGTTCAACTCATCTTGTCACAGGGAGACAAGTGATGAGTGCTCGTATCAGGAACTTCTGCTGGGTCATGTACTGCTTGGTGTTTTGTTTTTCTGTTTTGAAATGATTTTGTTGCTAAGTGCAGATGGTATGATCTTGGGAAATTCAAGAAATAGTCTGAAGTCAATCCTGTTTAGCGTAGGTGAGGTTCAAATTGTAAAGTTTAGGAATATTACCTCATGCAGACACGTAGCAGCTGGCGAGGCAGCAGTTCTGTGAGAGAGTATTTGGGGTTTGTAGTGGTTCCTAAATTACCATGAATCAGCAGCATTGCTG